CCAACGAGGCAAAGCTCGGCCCCCCAGTAGGGGGCGGGCCCCTGCCTGAAGGCAAACCCACAAATGCGGCCGCAGTTCCTGGATAAGGAACGGGCCCCTTGCCTGGGCAAGGGAAGCCCGGGCGGCAAACGCTCGGCCCCCCGATGGGGAGCGGGCCCCTGCCTTGACAAGGCACACCCAAGTCAGCCGCATTTCCTGTATAAAACAGGCCCCTGCCTGGATAAGGCAAACCCACGCGGCAGCCGCAGTCCCCGGACACGGGACTGGGCCCTGCCTGGACAGAACAGACCCACGCGACTCGGCGCAAGACCCTCGCCGGGGGGCTGGCCGACGGCGAGCCAGAAGGCGAGCCAACGCCCACAGGTCGCTGCGGATCGCCTGGACAAGGTAACCGTGGCGACAGCGAACCAAACGATTGGTTTTTCGCCCGCCCGCCCGTCCCTATTCCTGGTTCGGCTGGCACTTTGCCCAAGTGGTCTTTGGGGGTGCGCTGGGCCGCCCAAGGATGCCCACCTGGCAGTGCGTCTGCCGCGTTGCCCTTCGTCTCGCACGAGGGCGCCAGCCGAACTCATGGTGACCGGCTGCCGCGGCGATTTTCCCAAGCCGCCAAGGGGGGGCACATGTGCGAGGGCGTCGACCGCCCCGCCGCCGCGGGCCTCGCACGGACTTACAGGGCGGGCGACGTTGCGAGCGCCGCAGCCGCAACCCGAACCGTCAGGGGAACCATCATGCGCAAGGACATCGACCACCCCACCGCTGTAGGCCTTGCCAGCGAGGGCCACGGCTGCCTCCGAGCCGCAGGCCTCGCTCGGACTTCCTGGGAGGGCGACTCCACGACCGTCGCAACACCTCCCCAAGCCGCCAGAGTGAGCCACGCGTTCGAGGGTGTCTCCATCGTCGCGGGCCTCGCTCGGAATTGCAAGGCGGGCGAAGCTGCGAGCGCCGAAGCACCTCCCCGAGCCGCCAGGAGCACCAGCGTGAGCGAGGACATCGGCCACCCCACCGCCGCGGGCCTCGCTCGGACACACAGAGCGGGCGACGGCGCGAGCGTCGCAGCTCCGACCCAGTCCGCATGGAAGAAATCCATGGGCGAGGGCGTCGACCACCCCACCGTTGTGGGCTTCGCCTGCAAGGGCCACGGCCCCAATGCAGCCGCGGGCCTCGCTCGGTCTCACTGGGGGGGGGGGGGGGGGGGGGGCGACGCGGCGAGCGCCGCGGCAGCTCCCCAGGCCGCCAGGGGCACCATCCTGCGCGAGGGCATCGACCACCCCGCCGCCGTGGGCCTCGCACGGACTTACAGGGCGGGCGACGCTGCGAGCGTCGCAGCCCCGACCCAAACCGTTAGGGGAATCATCATGCGCAAGGACATCGACAACCCCACCGCCGTAGGCCTCGCCGGCGAGGGCCACGGCTGCCTCCGAGCCACAGGCCTCGCTCGGACTTACTGGGAGGGGCGACTCCACGACCGTCGCAACACCTTCCCAAGCCGCCAGGGTGAGCCACGTGTTCGAGGGCGTCTCCATCGTCGCGGGCCTCGCTCGGAATTGCAAGGCGGGCGACGCTGCGAGCGCCGAAGCACCTCCCCGAGCCGCCAGGGGCACCAGCGTGAGCGAGGACATCGGCCACCCCACCACCGCGGGCCTCGCTCTGACACACAGAGCGGGCGACGGCGCGAGCGTCGCAGCTCCGACCCAGTCCGCCAGGGAGAAATCCATGGGCGAGGGCGTCGACCACCCCACCGCCGTGGGCTTCGCCTGCAAGGGCCACGGCTCTAATGCAGCCGCGGGCCTCGGTCGGTCTTACTGGGGGGGGGGAAGGCGACGCGGCGAGCGCCGCGGCAGCTCCACAGGCCGCCAGAACATCGACCACCCCACCGCCGCGGGCCTTGCTGGCATCTGACTCGCATCCACGACCCCCGCCCTGGCCTGCACTGGCCCCTTGTAGTGAACGAGACCGTCGGCATCATCATCTTAGAGACCCGTTGCGCCTCCATCGCGCTCATCTGCCGCCTCGCGGCGTCGCTTGGATCCAGTCCACGACGGGGCCCTGACACAACGCTTGAACGCATCACGTAAGTCGGCGCCATCATCAACGCCACCTGCCTGCTGACCAAAGCCCCAAGCCACCAGTTACACCTTAAGCGCCTCCTTGGTTGCGCCAGCCAGCTCGGCCTCGTCGGAAGGCTCCTCTTCCGCTTGAGCTTCCTCGGCTCTCCTGGCCGGTGCAGCGGCCGCCTCAGCTTCCACCGCGCCTCGGAAGTGATCGTACAATTCGGTCGACAAACCCATGCCTTGCAAGACCTCCACCATGGTGGTGAGTGACCAGCGCTCACTACTGCCAGCCACCATCAGCACCAGGAGGGTTCGCCACGGGGCTTGGCATCATGGTGCCAATCTGGGCCCGCTCTGCCGTGATAGCCACCGGCTTCTCACGGGACTGCGTGATGGCCGCTTCACCTTTAGCGACCTCCTGATGGAGCTTGGCAATCTTTGCTTTCTTATCGTCCACAGCCTGATGCCAGCGCACCCGCTGTTTCTCAAGCCGGGCCATCTTCTTGGACAGGGCATTGAGCTTGACGGGCGCAGGCCTGGCCTCGAACAGCTCCCCCTTAAGTTTGGCCCTCTCTTCTATAGATTGGGCGACGATGTTGGCAACAGCCTCTGGCATTGGTTTGGTATGTCCCAGATGCTCGATGTATCCCCCCAGCTATGATCTGCGTGCTTTGGTGCTGGACACCACCCAAGCCTCCATGTCCACGTCGGCGTCTGCTGCCATTGGCTTGGACTTGGCCTACTGTAGTTCTTTCTGCAGCGACCTGTTTGTGCATGGCCAGACGCTGGTGCTCGACAAGTTTGGCCTCGCCCTCAAATTTGCCGCTGCTGCCTGTGCTGCCAGGCTTCCTCTATGGTGCTCTCCGGGCAGGGTCTGCGTTCTGCTTTTCGGGCTTGCGCTTGACGGCCACCGACTTGGCGATCCCACACGCATGGCAAGCCAGCTGGTCGGGGAAATTGGCGAACGGCTTCCCGTTCCGTCCCGTACACATTTGCAGCACCACTTCGTGCGCTGCTGGTCACGTCGGGCCACTGGCGCCATGGCTGCTCCTCTTCTGCGAGTGCGTGGCGGCCACACGGTGCAGAACCCCCCAAAAAACTATGGCCAAAGCGGCCCAGGTATAAGCCATGGTGATCCGAGGATTCAGCTCAAAGCGCGACCCCTCGCGCTCAAAACGCCCTCTCGGACTCGCGGTCGTCGGGAGACGCATTGCCTTGAGCCAAAATGGTTACGGATGTGTGTCTCTGTGCATCTCTGTGTGTCTCTGTGTGTCTCTGTGTGTCTCTGTGTGTCTCTGTGCGTCTCTGTGTGTCTGTGTGTGTGTGTCACTGTGTGTCTCTGTGTGTCTCTGTCTGTCTCTCAGTGTCTCTGCGTCTCTCAGTGTGTCTCTGTGTGTCGCTGTGTGACTCTGTCTCTGCCTCTCTGTGTCTATATGTGTCTCTGTGTCTCTGTGTCTCTGTGTCTCTGTGTCTCTGTGTCTCTGTGTCTCTGTGTCTGTGTGTCGCTCTGTCTCTCGATCTCTCTGTCTCTCTGTCTCTCTGTGTCTCTGTCTCTGTGTGTCTGTCTCTCTGTGTCTCTGTGTCTCTGTGTCTATGTGTCTCTGTGTCTCTGTGTCTCTGTGCCTCTGTGTCTTTGTTTGCCTGCGTGTGTATTGGTGTGTGTATGTGTCTGTGTGTGTGTCTGTGTGTGTCGGTGTGTGTGTGTGTGTCTGTGTGTATATGTGTGTGTCTGCGTGTATGTGTCTCTGTGTCTGCATCTGTGTCTGTGTCTCTGTGTGTGCGTCTGTGTGTGCGTGCGTGTGTGTATGTGCGGTGTGTGTTGTGTGTGTGTGTGTCGTGCGGGTGGTGTGTGTGTCTGTGTGTGTTGTATATGGTGTGTGTGTCTGTGTGTGCGTGCGTGCGCTTGCGCGTGGGCGTGCGCGTGCGCATGTGCGTGTGCGTTTGCGTGTGCGTGTGCGTGTGCGTGTGCGTGTGCGTGAACGCGTGCGTGTGCGTGTGCGGGTGCGCGTGCGCGTGTGCGCGTGTGCGTGTGCGTGTGCCTATGCGTGTGCGTGTGTGTGCGTGTGCGTGTGCATGTGCGTGTGCGTGTGCGCATGCGTGTGCGTGTGCGTGTGCACGTGTGCTTCTGCGTCTGCGTGCGCGTGTGCGTGGGCGTGTGCGTGTGCGTTTGCACGACGTTGCGCGTGTGAGTGCGCGAGTGTGAGTGTGTGCGTGTGTGCGTGTGTGCGCGTGCGTGCGTGCGTGTATGCGTGTGTGCGTGTGTGCGTGTGTGCGTGTGTGCGTGAGTGTGCGAGTGTGTGAGTGCGTGAGTGTGTGAATGAGTGAATGTGTGAATGTGTGAGTGCGTGAATGCTTGAATGCGTGAATGTGAGAATGTGTGAATGTGTGAACGTGTGAATGTGCGAATGTGTGATTGTGTGAATGCGTGAATGTGTGAATGTGTGAATGCGTGAATTCGTGAAGATGTGAATATGTGAATGTGTGAATGCGTGAGTTCGTGAATGTGTAAATGTGTGAATGCACGAACGCGTGAATGCGTGAATGTGTGAATGTGTGAATGTGTGAGATGTGTGCATGTGTGAGTGTTTGAGTGTGTGACTGCATGGATGTGTGAATACGTGCATGAGTGCATGTGTGAATGTGTGAATGTGTGAATGCGTGAATGCGTGAACGTGTGTTTGTGTGTGTGCGTGCGTGCGTGTCTGAGTGGGTGTGTGTGTGTGATTTGATGTGTTGTGTTGTCTTGTGTTGTGCTGTGTTGTGTTGTGTTGTGGTGTGCTGTGCTGTGCTGTGCTGTGCTGTGTTGTGTTGTGATGTGTTGTATTGTGTAGTGTTGTGTTGTGCTGTGATGTGCTGTGGTGTGCGCGTGTTCAGTTCCCCCGTACACGTTCGGAGGTCCGCACGGACATCCGAAAATGTATGCTTGTATGCGACGTTTGCTATTCGGGCCTCGAGCGCCGTGCTCTTCGATCGGAAACGCTCCAGCGAGGTCGCGAAGTCCGCACCGTGCTTGTAGAGGATCGCGGCCGTGCGCTCTAGGACGGACTGCTCCACGGCAATGAAGTGCTTCAGCCTGATGCCCTCCTCGGTGGACCGTGTGTAGCAGGAGAGCCACACCGTTGCGTAGTAGTCTCCCACCTGCCGCCAGCGCACGAGCCTATGCTGGATAGTGTCGAGATCGTTGTGCTCCTCGAGCATGCCCTGGAGGTCGTTTACGATTGCAGGGACCTTTGGAATATCCTTCAGCCGCACGTTGATGTCGAATCTGATTCGCCTGTGGCTCATTCGCGAGTTATTCTGGACTAGCATGTGGATTAGACGTATATTTGGGACGTACAGGGGGCGCTTGTCCCACTGCACAACCTTAGTATAAAATATGCCAATCTCGTGCACCCACCCGTCCTGCCCATCCTCAAGCGTGATCCAATCGCCTTGGGCGAAGGGCTGCGTCAAGTAGATGACCAAACCGCTCAGCACATTGGAGAGTATGTCGCGGCCTAGGAACCCTAGGAAGATGGCGCCGACTGATGGCACAAGCAGCACGCGACTCGTGTCGATGCCCAAGAGGGCCATCACCCAAAGCAGCCACACAATCCATGAGAGTGCTTGTAGGGCTATCGTGACGGCGGTAAGCCGCGCCTCCCGCTGACTCGACTGCGACCCCAATATATCAGACTCGATCGCCTTGCCACGCGAGCGTCTTTCCTTCCAGCGGCTCACCAGCGCAAGCGAGCACAGGAGCATGCAGGTGATCGTCACCAGCCACTTCGCCCGCGACGTCATCCTCACCACGAGCTCGCCAAGCTTCTTCGTGGACGCGCGGCGGACCAGCAGCCACTGCAGGATCTGCACCGCCACCACGCAGCACCCCCAGAGCTGGCCGGGCAGCTCAAAGGCCTGAAAATAGGAGTACCTGTAGCTCACCCTGGGGGGCGCACTCGCCGCCAGCAGGCGCGCCCGCGCTGGGACCTGCGCCTCCTGCGAGGGTGGGAGGAGGAGGAGGAGGAGGGGGAGGAGGAGGAGGTCACCGATCCTGGCGTGGCCCATCCTGGGCCCAGGGCCGCTGTGCGGTGAGGCTTCGGGCCGCGTGCCGTCAGCCCCACCGGGCAGCAGGTAGCCCACGTGGGCTTCAACAGGCCCCACGAGTAGTCCCAGCTGACCTCAACAGGCCCCCCGAGTGTAGTCCAGGGCGGTCTCAACACCCTGGCGCCGCCTCCGGCGCCGCCCCTGGGGCGCTCCGCGCCCCAGAGCTGACATGTTGAGTCCGCCCTGGACTACTCGGGGGGGCATGTTGAGGCCAGCGGGGATTACCTGGGAGGGGCTGTCTGTGCGCAACCCGAAGCCTTACCATCGGTGTGCATGCCCTCCTGGCTAAGCGAGGGAGGCATACCCTGGGCCCAGGATGGGCCTGGCGGGGATCGGTGAGAGGGTCGGCTGACCTGAGACCAAGGCAGGGTGAGGACGAGTCCGGCTGAGGGTGAATCGCGCTGGCGGGTCTGGCACCGTCTGGCCGGAGGAGTACCAGGCGCTGCGACCGTTCCAGATCGACTCGGAGCGGTCTCAAGGCGACGTATCCTCGTCGTGGGCAGGTCTGCCCGAGGACGCCCCCCGATCCTGCACCTCGGACAGGCCCGCCCCCTCGCGGACGACCCACGCAGAGGACTCCGCGCAGTATTCGCTCCACCCGAGCGAGGGCGCCGAGGAGAGGCGTGCGCCTGCCGGCGAGATGGCGAGCGCCGCGCCCTCGTCCACGGCCGCCGCCAGCGCCTCGCGCGCCCTCTCCTTCTGAAGGGCAAACGTCTGCAGGAGGAGGAGGAGGAGGAGGAGGAGGAGGAGGAGACGGAGGAGGAGGAGGAGGTGGAGGAGGAGGAGAAGGAGGTGGAGGAGGAGGAAGGAGGAGGTGGAGGAGGTGAGGAGTAGGAGGGGGGGGGAGGAGGGGGGAGGAAAAAGGGGGAGCGAGGAGAAGGAGGCGGAGGAGGCGGAGGAGGAGGAGGAGGGGAGGACAAGATAGGTGCGCTCGCGTCATATCTGACGTCCTACCCCTCCCTCCCATCCCTTACCATGGCGCTGATTTTCTCTATCCGCGGACGCGTGTCGTAGCGGACCTGTGGCTCCGCGCGCGCGTGCGTAGTGGGTGGTGGTGCACGTGCGTGCGTGCGTGCGTGTGTGCGTGGTTGTAGTGGTGGTGGTGGTGGTGGTGGTGGTA